TTGACTCAGACGAGCGCAGAAAGGATTTTGGCGGTCGGTGTATTTCATGTTGATTTTTGAAAATCCTTTCAAACCCATGATGATTTATGGTGATATAACTTTATCTGTGTCTTGCTTCTCTATTGACGTGTCTCAATCACAAACACCATACATTATTCTTTATCTGTTAATCCAATGCCCAGCATATTTGAATTTTGCGTGGTCAGAGAATGTGAGCGACTGTTTGGCTCTCTCTGGACGTCATATTTGGCTCGCTTGCTTGAGTGCTTTTGTCCGCATATTTGAGGTTTGCTTTATTGTGCATTTTGTAATGATTTCGCTAATTCAGTACCGTAGAACATTACGGATCAATCGTGATTTATTTCGGGCTTCGTATCGGTTTCGGTTACGCGTCACTCAAGTGCGAATTGTTTGACGTACAACCGTCACTATGCCTGTTGACATCGGCTGATTGAACAATGATGTTAAGGGTTCAGTGAATACCAATGCCAATGGTTTTAACACCGCTGGGTGCAGGTTGTCTGGGCCAGTGGATTTCGTCGGGTTGGGTCCGGAGATTACAGATAGGTACTCGTCGTGCTCTATGATGCAGCTAAGGCTGCATGGGCCTGCAATATCCACGTCTGTGAGGTTGCTTACGATCGTCCCTACTCAGAAGATTGTCTGGAAGTGGTCTTTAAATGTGTCTGCAATACCCTGGTCCGTGTCGAGGGTTATTGTCCCTAAACCCATAAGCAAACCTATGGCCTTTCGGGACCTAGTTTGCGATTGGACGCATCTATAGAACGTTTTTGGCTGTGTTCTAATATCCCTTGCCGTACTGACTTCGGGCTGATGTCGATATGCTGACTGCTTCGTTTCTTAGCCTTGTGTACTGCCGTCAGTTAGCACTGTGTATCTGTGCCAGGCAGAGTTGCCTTTCCGTAACGCTTTACGCATTTTGGCCGTAAACCAGGGCTTTAGCATTTGGTTTTTTAACTCTGGTAACGGCGCGTGTCTATCCGTCAATCTAACTATATTTTGTTTGATGACCTGCCACATTAACTCCGTGGCTGGTGTGCCATCGGTGACCCAACTGAGTTCACGGGCGTCTCTTAAAAGAGCGATGTGGTCGATTTTATTGTATAACCTAGCTACCCTACTTCGTGGCGCGGCAACCTTCAGCATAAGGTCGAATAAGATCACGATGTGATCACTTTTTCCTAGTGGATTCCCGCGGAGTAGATTTCGGACTTTGCCTTCGCTCCGCGTAATCAGTAGATCTAGGGTCGACGGAATTTGCCCTTCTCTGAATCTGGTTGGCCATGTGATGTGCTGATGGAGCCGGCCTTCGTGCAACAGTTCTAGTAACTGGTTTTCGAAGCCGGGGCCGTCGTTCATTTCAGTTTCCCAGTGTATCCTTGGGGCGTTAAAGTCACCCATGATACATAGTCGGAGGGGAGTCTTTATCAGATCTAGAAGTTTGGTAATCACCTCAACGTTTTCGGGCACATCGTGCGAGGGCTTCGGTACGGCATGGTGGTCATCTCCCTCCAACAAACACATTCGTCGAATATCGCACACCTGTTCACCGGCAGATGTTTCAATTTCACTGTTCTTACTAGCCCATCTGAGTCCGTATGGCTTTCTATGACTACACCCAGTGGCCAGTTGTCGCGTTGTAGTTTCTCGTCGGCCATAAGGACATCTCCAACCTTCAGCGACCGTTCTCTATGCAACTACTTCTGTCGAGCTTGAAGGGTTGGCAAGTAGTCTCTGGTCCAACGCTTTCAAAACACCCGTGCCAGGTAGTTCGCATGCTTCCAACCCGAGGTATAGCAGCCACTAAAAGTTTTGGAATATCTAGACCATCATTGGACCTCAATAGCAAAAGGTCACTCGGAGTTAACGCCAGTCCTTGCATGTCATTGCTGGTGAAGGGTACAAGCGGTCGGTTGTTGACTATCTGTTCGGCCTCTACCAGAAATGTACTTTATCATCCGGTGCCTGTTGTTCATATAATGCTGTCAATTTTTTTCGTATTCACCGTATGAGCAGTTCCCAAACTCCCCCGTGGTGACTGCTCTTATGTGGGTTGAAGTGCCATGGGGTTCCAGATGGCGACAGTCGGTTTTGCAGGGTGCATTTGTCTAACCGCTTCAACCATTTGTTCAACTCCTTTTGTGAACCGACGAAATTGGGTCCGTTGTCGGAGAACATTTTCGATGGGTTGCCTCGTCTACCCACGAATCTCTGTCCATAAGGAAGGAGTCAGTCGACATGCTGTGTCCGCAAAAACGTGTAACTCACTTTGCTTTCCTTTGCTTATTCCTGGTATGAGACGATGGAGTCGTATATGGCCCAGCATAGACAATCTCATCCACCAGCCTTGCCAGGTCTTGTGATCCGCCTCGCATAGGGTCTCATCCCAAGCCACCTTTTTCGACACAGGTCCTGCAGCAGAATCTTGCCCGGCAGTAGCCACGGTGCGACGAACCCCATTGGATCGTAAAGGCTGGCCAACGAAGACAGAATTCCTCTGCGAGTCGCTGTCGTCTCAGGTAAATGGAGTTGGAACAAGAATTCGTCTTTCTCTGAGTCCCATTGCACACCAAGTGCTCTATCTGTTAGTAACGGACTCCCCTGCAATTCACGGAGACTCGGCGCCCGCTCATAAACTGGGATGCAATCGATTGCATGACGACTGTTGGACATTCACTTGGTCAACTTTAACCTTCCCATGAGCAGTAGCTTGGATAGATCCCTTATGTGTCTAACTGCTACCTCGATGCTATCAAAGTATCCCAGGAAGTCTTCCACATAAAAATTATGTTCAACACAGAAGCCAACCGGGGTTTCGAAATGCTGAGCAAATTTGTTCACGGTCGTTTTCAACGCGAAGTTTGCACAGAAGGGAGAAGATATCGCGCCAATCGGGTGCACCGTCATCCGATACTCCTGGACAGGTCCGTCTAGGTCTCAATCCGGCCACCACCACAACCGTAGAGCATCCCTTTGCCCTTCCGGGACTTTGACTTGCATGAACATCTCCTCGATATCAGCCGCTACTGCAATTGACCCCAGCCGGAATCTGCACAGCACCTCAGTCAGCGGAGTAGTCAGGTCTGGGCCTTGTAATAGACGGTCATTTAGGGCAATCCCGGCCAACTTGGCAGCACAATCGAAGACAACCCGGATCTTCTGAGGTTTTTTGGGGTTTATGAGAGGGTGGTGCGGAAGGTACCACAATGGTTGCTCCTTCTCGATTTCTCCCATTGCGCGTTCAATCTATCTGCGGAAGGTACCACAGTGGTTGCTCCTTCTCGATTTCTCCCATTGCGCGTTCGATATATCCCAACTCTAGATTGCGTTTCATGGCGTTACAGTGGACTTCCTTTAACTTCGCGTTCCTCTTTAATCGACCCTTCAGGTGGTTGAGCCTGTGAAGTGCTATTTCTCAATTATCTGGAAGTCGGTTGGATCCCGTTCGCCACTTCGAATCGGATTCCGTTGTGTCGTGCCGTTTCGGTGACGACAGTCATGGCTGCTAGGCCTTCTCTCGACATAGATACCCGGTCGTCTGCTATGTCGCCGAATTCGTAATTGTAAAGCCGTTCCAGATCGTCTCCTATGGGATTACCTGGCCGCGAGATGAAGTTGATCGAGGCTGAATAATTACCAGCATTACTGAGCGGCCC